ACAATCCGACAGGCTTTTTTCCCCCCCTGCCATCGGGGGCCCGCCTGCCACAGGCGCCTGCAAAAGAGGTACCTAAAAAAGGCCGAAAGTGCCCCCTGCACCGAGCGCCGCTGCGCACAGGCGAGCGCCAACCTCTTCCCGCCCCCAGCAAAGCAGCTCGCTTCTGCTCCGGAGCGGGAGGTTGCACTTTCCTGATCTGGGCCGGAAATTGCAGCGCCTTCATTAACATTTGCTTCTTTCGAAAAAAAGAAAAAAAAGAAAAGCCATTGTTTCTACAAAGCAAACCAAAGCAAAGCAAACCGACTTTCCAGCTCCAGCATTTCACTCAGCGCGGGCCGGCTTCGCGAGCCCTGGAAGTTAGCATCTACATGGGGAGAATAAGGAACGTCGCACCCGGCGCTGCGGGCCGCCCCTGATTTTGATGGCAACCGCAACTTGCCGAATTGGCCGTTCCCAGGAGAAGGGCGGAAGGCAAGGGGTTGCACCGCTCCGCCGCCCTTCCTTGCCTCTGCCTTTTGCAGTCTCCTTACCTGGGCAGCTGTTGTAAAAATTAAGATATGAACCAAAGAAAAATCAGATGCTCGTTCTACTTGTTTTGTCACCGGAGATGTTCACTCTGGTTTAAACGACAATGGATTATCTGACTACACTGGTGGGGGAATATTTACCTTGTCTTCAAGAGCCCTCTCCCTCGCTCGTTCGCTCGCTAATTCTTTATAAAACGCTTTGAAGGCTCTCCAAATTAATTTTTTCATTATTAAACAAGCATTTCAGATTTGTTATCTTACCTTTCATAATGTCTGCGAGTACATGTAGCAGCACTTGTGCTTCCAGGGTTACCACCTAATTCATCATAAATATGTTTCCATTGTCGACGGGCTGTTATCTGTAAAAATGGCAATGGAAAATTTAATCTTGCATCTTTACAGATCCTACAGCATTTGAGTTCACAACAACAAACGCATGTGTGACACTTTCAGAACAGCATGTACCACCAGCACTGTAAAAGCCCCTCCAGAATATATAGCGTGCACAGAGCTTCGGGTGTCTTTTCGGCTTTTTTTAAGTTAACACCACGTCTATTTTCTTTCTCTCTAAAATGGAGCGATCTGCCTGATTCATTAGCAAGTCACAAGCAATACAGCCTCACAAAAGAGAAGCTCAATCAATATAGGGTCATTAACCATCAGAAGTTATGCAGACAAATCCCACCGTGAATTATGAAAATGAAGCTAGAACCAAACTCAGCACAAATACCGATTACGTAGTTGTTTTAACTGAATTAGAGAAAATAAATCTGCTGCAAAATCCAAATCTACCACAGAATTCTGTGGTAAATCCACAAAAGCAGAGTCCGTAACTCTATACGTTACAAGCTGTTTATTTTTATCCATTTATGTCAGTCAAATATATAGATCAAATACTAATGAAATCTTAACATACTCCAATGTTAATATTTGAGCTATGTACTTTATTGGACCACGCTGATGAAAATAAACATCTTGTAACATATTGAGTTGCATACCATGGTTCTGGTTTTTCTGTACAGAAATTAGGATTATGCAGAATAACAGATGGAAGACCTGGCAAAAGAATTGTTTCTGAATACCACTTCATTATTTTATATATTCTGCTATATTTAAAACAGGAAGAAAAACAGGAATAGGACAAGCACAACAGATCACCCTCCTTTGCCTGCAGCTCATAAAGAGGGCCGGTGGAAAATTCGGGGTGGGGGGGGGAAGGGAAGGCTGGGGCATTTTGGGGAGAATTTTATCATTTTCTGTGGAACGCTGTGGATTTTTTATATTCAGCCCTGGAGGCTTCTCCAGAGTTCCCCACAGAGCAGTCAATGGCGTTTGCTGAGGAGCTAGAGGCAGCAATCAGAAGAAAACAAATATTACAGCTTGCAATCTGAGGTCTGTAATTTTAATCTAAAGAAGAGGAGCTGGCTACTGTCACTAAATATTGCAGGCTAAGAGGTGCTTTTTTCGGCTCTACATAAAAGGAAAGTCCTTCCTCTGCAGAAATTATTCTCCAAAGGCAAAAGGACAGCTGGAGACCCGTTATTTGATAATGTTACAATTCCTTCAAGTTCATTGTTTGCCCAGTTCTTAGAAATCATCAGCACCTCCCACTCACTACTGGTACCTCTAGACAGATTGCACCTACAGATATTTGCAAAAAGGAAGCATTTTATCTTAAATCCCATTAAGAGCAAAATGGACTGACCGCGTTCACTAATTCTATTCCGTCTTCTGCAGCCAACCCAAAGACCAGAGGCCCGAGATGCCACAATCGAGGGATAAATTCTGCACAAACGAATGATTTAAATAAAAGACCAGCCTCTCATCGGAGGAAAAGGTTCATTTTCAGTCAGTTTTGTTTAGGTTCTTAAGCTACCTCTTCACCACGCAACCCACACGGCTGCCGGTTATTATTACTGAAGGGGTTAAAGATCTGAAGTCCTGATGAACATCATCTCCCGGGAATATAAATGGAGGCTCTTTCTCCAACAGGAAAGGTCCAAAAAGCCCCTGCCGCGGAGGAGCCCTGGGATGGAAGAGGCATGGCCAGACGCCCCTTGCCTCCCGGCGACTCCCCCAAATTACGGATGCCCTCAGGACCGTTGCAAGTGGCTTCATATGAACCGGAGCGTCTGGCAGCCTCGGGGACTAGAGGAGCAAAGGTGCACAAAGCCGATTTGGGGGCTGTGCCCTGGCCACGCTGGGGATCTCTGAAATCACTAGATCGTTATTGGTGTCTCCCTCCTCTGGGCTGTTTGGGGTAAGAGTATTTACCCAAACATTTGCCCAGCTTTATCCAGTTCTGCCTCTGCAGCGGACCAGAACTCCTCGGCAATTAGCAGAGTTGCGCTCTCCCACGGACGGAGCTCCGTTTAAGTTTGTCATTCCCTGAAACAACTGTTATTGTAACAAAGCCTGGGGTTGAGCTCTCCCCTGCTCTGGAAAGTTCAGTTTTTATGCTTAATAAACTTCAAAGGACTAAAGTTAGTGATAAATTACAACCTTAAACAAAACGCTGCGCTGTGGAAACTTTGCCACTGTCGTGCAGGGCAGCGTCGCTCAAGTTGGACGCTCATGTTGGCCACATATGGATGAAAGGTCCGCCTTGTCGTCTCACTGAAGTCACTCCTAGTTGCTTCCAGTGATAAAAAACCTCCTGAGGAGCCAGGGAAGGCCTGTGCTCGGCAATGCTCCGCTTGCGGTTATTGTGCATACTGAAAACGCCTGATTTGGCCACTTTTACACAGCGGTTTCCAACTCTGACAGGGCTCATATGTGTTCCGGCTGAGTAACGAGCCTATGACTGGGGCTTATGGGAAACAGAAAGCCAGGTAACAAAAGGTGCGAAAACGTTAAACTGTTTTGGTCGCCCGAGCAGATAATTTCCCATAAACGAGCCAAAGCAAAGGGCCATTTTCTTAAAGGCGTGGAAGTAGAGCGGACTAAGACCACGCAGGCCCTTCAAGAGCTTTAACAAACATTTCCTGAGCGCTTTCTATTCATGCTTTTGGTTAATTCATCTTAAGTCTCCTGAACGAAGCCGACACGCTCCAGCAGACAACGTTACAGAGGACAAAGTTCCCTCGTTGCCTTAGATTGCCAATTTGCTCTTTTCCCTGCTCCGACCAGTATGTACATCCCTCCCAGTGGCCACATTTCTAAGAGTGCAGGATGTTCCAGGTTCCAGGAACTGCATAGGCCAGTCTCATCTCCTGCAGCTTTCCATTCCAGGGCTGGCTTTAGTTTTGAAGCAGTCTTCTGGTTTCTAACTCGTCTGCACCATTTGATCCATAGGTCCACAACCCTAGAGCTGGGCCCAGCAAGTCCTCAAGAGCAATCAAACAAAAGCTATGATCTTAGCTGTTAAAGTAGGGGATTGTTTATACAAAGGCTTTTATTGGCGGCTTCTGCTCTGAGAAATCCTAAAAGTCTTCTGCACAGCAACAACAAATCTAAAGGGGGATTTTCTGGTCATGGCACGTGATCTTGACAGAGCTCCTCAAAATAGAGCTCTCGGTGTTAGTTCAGTTCAGTAGGACACAAACACGGGTATTTTAGATGCCACTGATAACGTCAGCTTCTTCGGGCCTGCCTAGATGCATAACTTTGGTAGTTGTCGACCATTAATTTTTTATAACTAAACCACTTTGCTGCGGCTTCCAGGAGGCAGCAGCTAAATGGGATCCCTTCTGACCTTCATCGAAACTTACGCTGCTACAGGGCAAAGATTAAGCCCCACCTAATTTTCTTTTTAACCTTTATCTTTCTAAGATATCTTCGGGTTGAGTCCATTCAGCACCACAGTCTCCTGCTAAGACGAACATGCCAAGGCGTTCCTTGTGCGTTGGCTCCGAAAGGAAGATGCCACTTCATGACTTGCCAAAGACAACTCCTTGGATAATCCCTGGAAGTTTCCCATCTACGAACATCTGCATCCTTTATTCACTTGCCTTAGGATGACTGAGAAAATCCCAGGCCGTGATCGTTCAATGTCACTGCAGCTGAGCCATCTACAATGCAATGTTGTCTGAAATTTCATCAAGGGCTTTGGGGATAGTTTAAATCATTCACTGCTGTGTGGTGCTCTCAGGTCTGCTATACAGAGTGCTTTCCAACGCACTCTCTTATTATTATAGGCAAAAATGCCTATTTCATGTATCTGTGTTTAAGAGAAACACAATCCCACCAATTCCAGAGAGACAGCTTCATCTGGTGAGGAGTTAGACCAATTTACATGGGTTTCTGTTCTTATTAAGCCTGTTCTGCGCCCATCAGGACGTACACGGGACTGCAATATTACACAGCTATAGACGACAACTTACTAAGAATTAGTAATCAAACAGAAAATGAAGAGATGAGAAAAGACTCTCTAATGGGAGAGCCCTTAAATAAAAGCATACAACACATGATGATGACCTGACACCACTAAATATCCCATATGTACAGGTAACACCTTCTGTCTAGCTTCACCGCATCCATCCCAGCACCTGATACGTGACAATTAAGGAAAGACTGGCAGATGGTTGAGAAAGTTGTCGTCTGCACCTCAAATCCAATCCCTGGCTGTTTTCATTCAGCTTTCGATCCTTAAACGACAGGACTGGACTCAGAGGTCTGGCATCGCTTGGCGACTCTGAGCAGAAGCTGAGAAGCACTGTACATAATCTCTGCCTCTTTGTTAGAGATGTTTTTAAAGCCTTGTGAAAGCATCTGTATGTGTGCAAGGTGGAAAGGACCAGGGATGAAAGGGAAAACAAGCTGACTACCATTCCTCTGCCAAACACAAGGATGTGAAGTTTGCAACTGATCTCGCTGGGAAAGCTTCTACGCTCCCTAGTCAAAAACTAGTTAACTGACCATCCTCAGTTCCAATAAGTGATTCTAACCAATCTTTCCTTTGCTGCCTGTTTAGAAAATGGCTGTCACGTGCTGAAGCCAAATAGCCTTTTGTAAGCGTTCTTGTCCTTACAATGCCTGCAAGAGAGAAGACCCACTTCTATCTTAACACACAAACCAGAAACTTGCGAAACTTTAAAGCACGTTAAAAGACGATGAAGCCCTTAAAATGGACAAATGACTCGGATGAGCCAGACGGCTGGGTCCATGTAGATAAATATATGTTAATCAGGGTAGGCTCCTGTCACCCTGAATTTGAGTAAGCCTTTGTTCTGCACGTGACATTTCATCATCAACAGGTATTGGTGTAATCTGGTCATTACCGCATTACAGCACTCACTTGCAATTTTAAATATGCGACTAAGCAGATCTGTCCAAGATCCTGGAACTAATCCTGAGGTCTATACCGTCCCAGCCATCCAGTGCCTTGTTCAAAAACAAAGCAAGAACCAAACACAAAAGCCTCCCATCAGTGTTCACCACGATACAATATACACGGTCAACTGCAGCGTGGCAAACTCAGTCGGTGTAAAGTGGCCATAAAATTAAAAAAAAAGAAAAAAGAGGGTGGGTAGGTCAAAGTAATGCAACAGCTATTGGTTTAACATTCAGAGAATGCAAAACAAAGGCAGATCCATACTGAGGATGAGATCATTAACAGAAAAGGATGAGGTTGGGTGGCCTCATGCTCCATGTACAACCTAACTCGCATCCACATGGTTCTCCGCACCTCAGCTCTTCTGCAGAGAAAACATGAAACAACCTACATCCATAAAACACTGGGTCAGGCCCCCCTCACTCCAACCCAGTCACTTCCAAACCAAAACTGGCCTGACCTCTGCTTCCTTTGCCATTTACTGACCAGGAAACAGTTTTTAAGTCTCTTGTCTATGGAGAAAAAGTACAATCCATTTTCCTCCCAGGTGACAAACGCCTCTCACCATCAGAGCACACATGTCGGTGAGCCAAGCACTGAAGTTCACCTACAGGATCCCTCACGCTTCTGCTGCCGTTGGCAGACCTGCCTCACTGGCCTCGTGCTCACAACCTCACTGCCCCAGTCCTCCCTTCACACACGTGGGTGCGTTAGCTTCTTCAGCATCTCTAAACCCACCCCTTCCTCTCTCGGTTCTGGCCCTCAACCTCGGCTCACTCCAGCAAACCACCACTTGGGCATCCCAGTCCCTTCGAGAAGGTCCAAAACGTTGCTGTGAAACAACCTGCCTCCCTGAGCACTCTGCCCACGTCACTCCCCGCTCAGTCTCCATCCCAGCCTTCGCTTGCGCTCTGGATCAAGTTCAAATTTTTAGCCCTCATCTTCATTGCACTTTACAGCTTGTAGCAATGACTCTTGGCTCATAACTGCTGTAACTCCAGAGCTGCAGCAGCTAATCGTGCATATACACCCACGAGCGCGCATACGCACACCCCTGTACATAAGCATGGTATGTGCTGATTAAAGAAAGATACAGAAATAACAGAAGCCAAATCAAGCATATAGTTTTGTTGAGAACGTTAGATTTCTTGTTTCACAAAATCCTAACCACGCCCACGCTAATAAAACCTGGGCTGTTAATTTAGAGAACAATATGCCTTATTGTATGGAAAGAAAATAGCTTAGTTTTGTATTTTCGTTCAAATGACTTGCAGTTTGTTGATAGTGCATTTCTTCCTGTCATTTCTCTATAGCACAGATATGTCCCAGATTACTTCGTAAACAAAGCAAAAATAATTTCTTTCATCCAACTGCAGCAGGAACTGAACAACTTAATCTGATCATTCTGTGCAAAGAAAATATTTCCAATGACGACATCTTCCTATGTCAATTGGTTTTTATTACAGATGTCGTCTCTATGTGCCATATTAATGCAGCTCTTTCTTCTCATTTCAAGATTTTAATCTAAGTTTGTTGCTCTAATATTTTATTGGTTCAAAATACATGCTGTAAAATCCACGGCCATCAAATTTTCCTGTGAGCTAAAAATAAACTGCTCTTGTCAGATATGGTTAGCTGATAAAAAGTGTCAGAAACTTTTCTGAATTACTTTGATAACTTCCTGTTTATGTGGTACTGACCCTTGTCTAATAAAGATCTTTTACACTCGGAATAAGAGAAGATACTGCAGCATACTATTCCTTAATGGACAATGCTGATTACTTTTGAAAGCCTTTAATACATTTCCCATATTAGACATGAACAGATGTCAGGGATGTTGCCAAGTGAAATTTCTTTTATGCAATCTTGGCTTGTTGTACAATAATAGCCCTTTCTCAACATGGGAAAAAATTACAGACCCAACTAATTTCCTTGACAGGGAAGAGTTACATATGTTTTCCACTTGTAGTTTTTACGACAAGTTTACAATTTTGCCAAACCTGGAACTAATTGGGACTGTTTCCAAAAATGGTCCAATAAACCCACAATGTGTACAGCTAGCTTAAAATGCAGCAAATGATTGTTTGCTTTTACATTTTTTTCTAACAGGGAAAAGTCAGATTGCACAATTATTTCATTTAAGTTACTTAAACACTTACTGTTTCATATCCTCCCAGTTTTTGAGCAGCTTGAAACATAGTCCAAAGGTTAACTGTTAGAGGGACAATAAGTATTTAGATAAGCATTGCATTAACCAACATATTTCAAAGAAATGTTAATTAAACAGTTTTTTAAAAAGAAAAATAGAAAAATAAATGCTCACAGCCTCTGAAAATACTCCCGTGAAACACTTTCCAAAGACATATTTACACAATCCTAAGAGCAAATATTAGCCCACACCATATATATATTTTTAATTACATATAAGAAAATACACGTAGATGCCTTTACAGAGCTGGAAAAATACACCGAGGCAAAGGTAATGGGCTCATTTGACTTTGCTGATAAGAAACACAGTATAATGGCTGTAACACGTTTCCATAATTTTGATAATAAAAATTACTCACTGGAAAGAATGTTGGTTTCAATTATTTGTTTAGCGCTGATTTCATTAACAAGCAAGCATGAGCCGCACACCGGCTCGCGGAGACTGCCTATTGATAAAACAACAATATCCAATATTTCCTGCAGCCCAGCTAATGGCCTTCATCATCAATAAACAATAGGCTGCGCTCGAAGGGGTCCTGCGGGAGTGAACCCGGGGGAGCCCAAATGAACAGGACCAAAATAGCTACAGAAGGGGTGGTCGTGCCTTGCCCACGGCTACGGGCTGGAAGGCGCAGAGGCATCTCCTCCAAAAGATGTGCTGGGAGACGCTTGTTACTTCCTCCATCACTCCTTCCCCTCACGTGCTTTTCCTCAATGTCCCACGGGGCCACTGTTTGCTGCTGGGGTGTCTTAATGTTATTTTAATTGATAGAAGAATAACTGATAACAGTTGAAGAACTGAACTTGACGACAGGCCCATGCACCACGCCACCAACAAACAGTGACTCCCAACAGACACGCGTGAGGATTTGGGGCCAGACTTGGCAATAACGCCGTGCGCCGCGGAGGTCCGGCTCCATTCCCCGCGGGGGGATGCTACGTTGTAGTGAACATACTGCTCCGTCCCACTAACACAGTTTTTCTGGCAATGTTTGCACAGCTCTTGATGGACAAATACAGAGCCTGGTCCTGCAAATAGAGCTGCTCTTCTCAGCATACTTACTCTTGGCATTTAAGTATTTGCCGGATCAAGCAACTTTCGGTGTATTCCAGCTAAATGTTAGCAGCGGACCCCACCCCGGTGGAGAATTTCAGAAATAATGCTTTAGCTTGTCTTTTGAGCCCACCCTGTCCCCTTGGTTGAGGGAGTGCAGCAAAAAACCGGGGTGGGGGGGGGATTACTCTTCAACACAAAAATGTTCTGAAAGCCTCATTGAACCTTGTACTGTCCCAGAGCTATCAAGAGCTTTGCTTAGGCCTTGATTTAATCTGAATCAATGCATAATGCAACGAAGCTGTTCATAGTACATTAATTTTACTTCCATTTCAAGCAGCCAGTTTTCAGACAAACACTGTAATCATTCAGAGTTATATAAGTTTATAATGGCTGCTGGAGGCCTGTTGCAATCAGTGCCAATTGCTATTAGGTATGTAAATTGTTATGTAAAACATACAGGTTTGACATTCTTCATCAAAATAACACATGGTTTTAATCTGGGAGATAAATTAGAGTAAATAGTATTTCAATCCATGGAGTCCGCCTTTTAGGTAATTAAAGTATCATTCAACCTACAGATAAGGAGGAAAAAATACCCCCATTTACGGCTTTTGTTGGAAATGCTGAAAAATCTACACTTCCATTGCAATATTTATGTAAAATTTGGTTGCAACTGTATCTCCTCCACCTACAACTGCTTTACAGATTGTGGCACTACAAACTATACATGCCAAAGCAATTCTAAACATTGCATTCTGTATTAAACAGATACGGTCTGGTTTTATATTCTCTGAAGTCAGTAATTTATTAACTATAAACACATTTTTGTGCTTAAAAATATGATCCCTTTTGTGCCTTTCTTGACCACCTTTAAATGTCTTCCTTTAATATTTGTCCTTTCATAAAGAACATCTGGGCACAATAAAGATACGTCATATTATTAACTCAGAAGAAAGGCATTACAGACGCTGCAGATTTACAAAACAGAAAACTAGAGAGTTTTCAGCATGCCTATTTCTAGTCATAATCAGCGGATTTAAACCTATAAATATCCAGCAGCAACTACCCCAGAAGGAAGAGATGCAAATCTAGGCATAAGAGACAGTAAAATGCCTGGACTGGAAAATTTGTAGATATAAACATGGTCCCCCCATCCATAAGGCTTTAAAACAGGCTCCGTGTGCAAATGCTTTCTCCAGAGAAGCCAAACCATTCTAAAATGTCAACAAGAAAGTGAGAAAAAGGATACTTACTCTGCTTAAAACCTAAATAGGGTATTCGTTCAATTGGTGTTTTCCTTTCTTTCATATATTTATAAAGTGCCACAAGGAAAGCCTGCTCATCAGCTCTGCATTCTTCACCTACGGCAATCTTTGATTTATCCTCACTTGAGCCTTTTTTACAGTTGCTGTTGTTACTCTTGGGTTTGGGCAAAGCTGACTTAGCCTCACATTTTACCTGGGAAAAGAAAAGATGTCATATCAGATCTGGGTAATCTTTAATTTTCACTTAAGGAATAAATACCCTCTCCTAACAGAATGGCTTGCTGAAAAAAATGAAGGCCAAACCATGCAACTGTGTTTGAGGGGAAACAAAGGAAGCTATTTATAGAGCTAAAAGTCTTGTTCTGAATCTTAGTCACAACATTTTTAAATAGCCACATCTTTAAATCATTATAACCCATTGGTAATGCTCTCCAGCTCTGCATTTTTACGACTATACATTGCTCTGTCACAGACAGCTCCCATCTCTCGCATACACTTGCCATTAGCAAGTCTAATAATAACCTTCGTTGCAGGATTGACACGGAGCACTGCCGACTCCCGTAGACAACCCTCGGCGTCGAGGGTGCTCAGCTCCTTCCAGGAACGCTCCGCAGCCAGCTCTGGGAAGCCGCCTTTTTCTCTCCTCTGGCCCATCAGAAGAGATGCAAACCTTGGCAAGCCTCACCCAGGCAGGGCTCTCAGCACACACCAGTGGAGGGCCTGCTGCAGCGCAGGCTTAAGTCAAGAGCCTTTGAGCATCTGCTTAAAGTTAAGCACAGCCCTAAGTACTTAGCAGAAGGAAGAGGCTGGTAACAGGAGCCGTTGCTGGTAGACACCAGCAGCCTCCGTGCACGTGAGTCCCAGAGCTCGGCGTTTCCCGCTGACCTCCCCGGCACGAGCGTGCCAGTCAGGAAGCCAACAAATTGGAGCCACTTTACTTCTCATCAGCATTCAAAACAAGGGGGAAAATATCCAGTGAGACTGGCTTAATCCTGCAGTCCTCCTGAAGATAATCCTCCCATTGAATCAGGCAAATTACAATTCGAGCCTTCCCACAGTTTATGTATACACATAACAAAAGAGCACACCCTTGCAAACTGATTTTCACAAGCTCTCCAGACAAACCATGTCCAAGACGGGATCAATACATTTCCAGTGAAATACTGCAGGTCCTCTAATACGAGGTAGCGGAGATGGTTACGGGCTGTATTTCGGGCATGTGCTGTCTCTTCAGTGGTCTTACGTGTTTGTGAGGAGCCTTCTGACAGCACCATACCCCAACCAAGCCATGTCCGTTGTGCTCCCAGAGAGACGAGGGAGCCTGTAAAAGCAGTAGCTGGGCATTTAGGAGGAGAGCAGCGTATCTCGCTGACGAGGAAGGCAGGAGTACTGGGGGAGCATTTCTGCGTAGCTGGCACCAACCCCTCCATAAGCCTCCAGTAAACCATCAATTCCTTCGTCCTCCCCACTCCTACACCAGGTTCTTCATGGGCACTCGTTGACGCTGCGGAGGTGAGGGCTATGAAGAGCATTCTGTAAGTACCATAAACACACAGCAAACGTACTATGGGAAAGATGAACCAGGATATGCTTACTTGGTCTCAAGAAAGCCACCTTGTGTTCAGGCTCAAGGAAAGCAAAGTCTTTTCCCTTTACATTCCTCCAGCGTATTAACTTTGCGAAAAGCACTGATTTAAGGCTAGCTGCCTCCATAGTCTTCCACAGACATTGGACAAGGCGACGCTGGCTACCCAACTAGAGGGGAGAAGTGGTCGCAAGTGTTGGATGTTATTCAGTGCTGCTGAAAAAACTCTCTCTGTTGGACCCTGCTGGGTACCGGCTTGCTCCTCCCAGGGACGTGAAAATGGATTTCCTGCAAGATTTTTCTTGATCCCTTACTCCCGAGGTGTGTTTCCTCTATTGCCCAATATTCTCTGGTCTGATGTTACTCAGAGGTTGTCTTCCTACAGCACAAGCCACCAGGCTTCGCCTTTTAGTAGTAGATATGATACTGATTAAACTTCTGCAAAGAGCCTGAATTTCATCCAAAACTCAATGAATCTAGTGGGAATTTTTCCTATTAAATGAGCTTTGCATTGGCTCACTACAGTTTTCAGTTCAGAGCTGTAATTCCTTAATTTTTTTACTTTGGCTCCTTGCAAAATTATTTAACAGCTTCCTCTTACAAAGTTCAAATTACATTGTCATAATTTTCAATGCTATACCAAAGACTGGGTTAGCACTCCCAATAGGAACCCATAATTTCAATAAATTCAGGATTTTTAATTTGAGCTGTAAATTCGTTGCAAGCTAAAACTTGGAACAAATTCTCTGAGCCTGGGAACAATTTTTCGGTTTTGAAGCCCACTTGCTAAGTAAAAATCCATCTATCGATCTATCTATCTACCCCATCTTTTTAATATGCTTTCTTCTTCAAACTGGGCAATTCAGAACTATGTTTGCAATGCTGGCCTGGGCATGAATGCTAAATCAGAGCAGGGCTCACTTATACGAAAGCAAACTAATGGTAAGGGACGTCACTCCCAAGGAGACATAAGGAAACAAAGAAAAAAAACATATAAAAGAAGCCGTTGGGAGCGAGAAAACCCCATGTTACACACAACCTCTTTCTCTCCAGTGTTCAGAGAAAAGAGGTCAAAGCGCCTGTCGAACTCAAAAGCGCCAAAGTGCAAAGAGAGGAGGCTAAGCAGTGTCAGAGTCAATGAACCTTTGATGAAGGCTGAGATGTTTCATCCATTCAGTGCTCAAGGCACGGGCCTCATTTCTGGAATGTCACCAGCACGTGACAGGAGATGTGAATGACTGCCATGGCCATGGATTAATGGGCTAACAGGGCCAGATGCCAGTCAGGACAACATCGGTGTAAATCCAGAGTAAATGCATCTGAGTCCCTTAGAGTTACTCCAGATTTGCACCGGGGACCAGCAACTGACCTAAACTCACTCTCAGAACACAAGCTTGAATCTTCCCAAAAGACAAAGATTAGGAGAAAGGTGCCAAACAACGAATTTTACTTGGCTCTACTCTCTTTTCTGGTCTGCTCCCAAAGCCTTAATGATTGCGTTACAAAGGGAACGTCCAACTTCTGCTGGAGGAGCTCAAGCTCTCTCTCTCTAGACCCGCTACAGGTTAATACGTCCAAAAGGGAACAGGCGGTAGAGGGCCAGGCAGCCATCCCAGAGTCACTCTGCAGATAGCCAGGAGTCTATTGACGTGGGGATCTGACCCATAGCTTACCATCCCTTCAGTCAGAAGCGTATGATCCACAACCAAAAGGCAGGTGAACACTCATGGATACACCCGTACGTTTGCTTTCTCCTGCTGGAAGTCCCGCATACACCAGACCACTACAGAACTTTATTTAAGAGTTTCAATCAGATAATGTCTGAGGCTCTCAGAATAAATCTTCAGGTCTGAGAGCGTGCCAGGCCACCTGTGGCCGCAGGAAAAGCCTACGCTGGCAACCTTTAAACTAATTTCCCAGATCGGGCTATATAGATGAAGTGAGAGATTTATTTTAGCATTTGCACTAGGAGATGTAATGAGTAGATTCATTTGGGGACAATTTCCATGTTTAACAAGTTAATCCTTTCAGCTCTTTGAATTGGTCAGACCAGGCGGTCTTAACAAGTCCTATAATGCATTTTTAGACACGCCGAATGGGCACGCTCTTTGGGGGCACTAAGCCAGAAGAGCATGTGGGGACAGCGAGATTCACAGCGGAGTCTGCAAAATACAAAAATCTGTCCAGCCCTGACGGCACATGAAGTAGGAAAGCCTCTACGTTCCTGGGAGCGTCTGGCGAGAAGAGAGTTAGAGATGCATCTTTCAATGAGAGCTGATCCTGCCTCAGGAGATGGCCTTGTATTTTCCTGAATTTTGCATACCCCACCTTGGAGGGACCCCCTCCCATGGACCCTCCCCAGAAGGCAGAAGATGGATGCAGTGGCCAAGAGAGAGACCAAAAGCAAGAAGTCGTACATGAGCTGCCCCTAGCAGCATCCGCAGGGCCAGGACCGCGCTCTGTCTGTCTGTCCCACTGTCGTTCTGTTTTTAACAAGCCACCTGGGGGGATTTACTCAGAACTACTCATACCAAACCAAATGTTTTTCCGTGTCAGATAGCAGTGAAAGTCTACCAAACGATCTGCTTGCGGTTCAAGGTAAACATGCCCTAATGAACTAAGTTGTAAGGACTTAAAAAGATTGCTAGTCGTTGGCAGCTAAGAACATGAAATTCAGCAAGTCATTACAACCATGTGGTTTTGTGCTGGGCTTGACAGGCTCAAAACCACAGTCTCCAGAACACCAATTCTTGCACCACTTCCCTCGACCCAAACCTTACAGCCGCTGCGTCTCCATCACACCCATCTCCCTGCCACCCCTGAAACCGGGCTGCTGTCAGGCACCGGCTCCCACGCACCGAGGATGAAAGTAGCACAACTTCTACTCAGAAGGCACTCTAACTGGACAAGAGTATGGCCAGGACCACCGCCAAAACGTTTCGGTATCTGACACAAGTGGATTTGTCCATTTACTCCAGCAGTTTTCAACTCTGCTTTCCGTGGACCCATCGACAGCATTAGCCAGAGATGGAGTGAGGACAGAAGAAGAAAATCTATGGTGAAGCACAATGTGGAGCCTAAGATGATTGCTTAACCACAGTAGGTGGATCTCCATCCCCCTGCCCCCCCCAAAAACACACCTCCCCTTCTCCCCCCGAAAGCTATCAGCAGAGACTCAAGTTGCATAAAGTGCAAGATATCTGCGTTAGTGGGTTTCCGATTCACTGCCTGCCCCGCTTTAAAGTATATCCATAGTCCGGGGACGCAGACTGAAGCGAAGAGCCACAGGGAAGTCAGTGGGACTACAAGCAAGGACGCTACGTCATGAACATGTCTATTATTTATAATGAAATTAAGCTGGCCAAGATAATTAATGCTATTAATATCTGCACAATGATGAGCACAGTATGACTCGATAAATAGGCGGAATTACTTCTTATCTGAAATATCGTCACATTTGACTAGTAGGGTGAACCCAAGTATAAATAGAGTGGATAAACAATTTGGTATGAAGTACTACTGTTGTTTTTAATTATCTAATACCTATATATCAGATGCCGAAGAGGCACAGCTACTCATGCCACAGTCCAGGGTGTTTTGACACCACGGTCCACGCTGCATTTTGCTGGCAATGTTTTAACACGAAAACCATCCGGGGGCAGGAGTGGGTGGGGAGGGAGGGGGAACGGAGGCAAAGTGAGACATTTTCACACTGCCGATTTCGCACGTTCTTCCACAGAGCAAAAACATTCAGGCAAACTCTTCAGCGAGCGGCGGGACCCTGCGCCCCCACGCACCAGGCTCCATGGCCTTTCCCGGCGCCCGTCTCGCGCCCCCGCGCAGGCTCCAGCGGAGCACGACGGGCCACAAAAAGCAGCGAAACAAGGACTTCGGGACAGAGCGCCATCACAAACTTCAGCCTTTTTTACCGTCACCGACAGAAGGCATAATAGAGCCGAGCACTTCCACTTGACCTCTTTAACCTCCTAATCTGCCGGGACATTCACTGCCTACAACACCACCAGCCTAAATGCACCTATGGGCTCACTGTATTTCCTGAAGAGAGAGTCACTACAATGGAAACGCTTTGCAGACACGCATCCAACTAATTTATTGAAACAACGGATTCAAGAGCAGCTGACCTAAAAATTCAGTCTAGGCAAACACGTTTCGCTGCTGCTCAGGAGTATCGCAGTGACCAAGTTCCCTCACAGATAAGCATCTACAAGTATTGCTCTCTCTAAGTAATTTTCCATCTTTGCACGTTACAGTTTCGAATTAAATCACCTTGAAAGGAGCCATTTATGCTGCTTTTTTTTTCTTTTAGGAGAAAACCAAATTCCTATTTAAAACCACAGAGACAACACAGAAAAGAGGATGTAAATTAAACTACAGAAACGTCATTTTAAAATGATAGTAAGGGAAAGACACGAACGCACAAGCGTCTAAGAAATAAGTCAGAAAACACAGCCCAGCGATCCAGTTTTTACTCGCAGCCTGGGCTAAGCGCTGCAGCAAATACAGCAGGCTCCTCGAAAACATGCACTATTCAACAAACCCTGGAACAGGCAGCTCGCTGCTCAGTATTAAAGAGCCAGCCAGATTCAGATTTTTAAACTTTTGTTCTGAATTTCCTCCCTTATCTTTTTTTTTTTTTTTTTTTAAGTCAGGATCTTAACGTCACGGTAATGTCGTTTGTGTATGCTTCTTAGAAACCATTATTTAAAGGCAGCTCTTGTTTCATACTCTGTTTATCTTCAAACTTATATTTAGAAGTACACTGTAACAGGGTGAGCTGCTGGCAGGTTTATTTTTAGTCTGAAGACACAGTCACAAACTATGTTTGTGTGTCACAGAATGTGAAAATTAGCACTGGATGCCAAGAAAGCTTAAGCACCACCAGTTACCAACAAGCTGATAGCATTAGGTCGTGAGGTGATTAGAGTTGCTGGTAACTTTGAACACAGATGTGATTTGCAGCGAAGAATGGGACTATTGAAGAAAACTGCCTTTCTCTCCCCCGGAAAATAAGTTACGTTCTAAATTTGAAACAGCATGCTGGGAAACAAAGGCAGAGCTGTATCCAAAAAAGGAGAACGCACTGAAAGGAATATTATTAAGTGATTTACCTTGGCAACAGCTTTGCTTTCGGAATTATTGTTGGAATCCTTAATGCCGTTTAATGAATCTCTTCTCTGTGGGCATGGCTTCTTTTTGCGTGGTCTGCCTTTAAGATTTGGCGCTGAAAATTAATGGAGAACAATTTGAGCACACTGTCTCGCATACACGGATTCTTAACAGCTGAAAGCAGAATAAATAATTCCCCTGCAATCAGTCACAGAAACGTACACATCTGTCTATAGTAAATGCTCATTATGAGCTTCCCATCCTCCACGGGTTACATCTTGACACACTATATGTTTCTATATCGTCCTCCCCAAGGCTAGTCTATTCTACTTTCACATATCTAATTAATACAAAGTCAAACATTGGTCTCCAAAGGACACAGAGAGAAAGCACAAATATTTCTCAATGGTACAGAAAGAACAAAATTGAATATTAATAGGGTACTTTGCATTAATCAGCCTACTGCACTTATTATAATTATTTTTAATCTTCAAGTAAGAGTACTAATTAGTATTCTCAACTTTGGGAAACATCTGTTTTTGGAAATGTTCTGCAACATTAAAACTCCGTACAGTTCCCAGAAATGTTTATAAACCCTCTCACTCTTGTCAAAGTTCTTCTAGAACAGTAAAAGAAGAAAAAAATTACCCGCGTGCTGAAATGGATCAAAAAACTCAACAGCTAGCTGTAGAAGCAGACCAGTGCTGGCACAAGTGACTGATTGCTTCGTAAGGGTTAGACACCCTACGTACAAATTAACATGAACCACTTTCAGTTTTGTCCAAGTCTTAGGACGCTTTGGTAAAAGACATAACACACGGACTAAATCCTAACCAGGCTGAGCCATACGTAGACTGGGATATGGATCATCATAAAAAAAATCAGATTCATCTTTCGATAATGACATTACAGTACAAATTATGATCGTACACAGAAATAATAGATAAAGCAGCTGTTTGTCCATTATTACGTGTCCTGCTTGTTTTCAGATTTAAAAATCAGTCTCCGACTACTAGAGCAACATTTAAAACGATAAACAATCATTAACTAATGACTGTACTGAAGAAGATAATTTGCTTTAAACCTTTAATTTCTAGGTAACCATTGTTTTCATTACTTAAAGGGACGATTAGAACAATGTCAGAAATCTAAACACCACAAACCTCTTGAGTGCCTCCTAATTGTTTCTAATCTTACATTTGTCACACAGTGAGCCGGTGGTTTCAGGACATTTTACATTTTAATTAGTTTGCAAACACAATAAAGGGTGCTAATTTGATTTTATAGTTTGAATAACAGTGTCATATTTGGTCTGCTTGAAGGAAAATAAAAGCCATGGGTTTAAGACCAAAAGTCGTCCTTTTTCTTCCCCCAGCACCAACACACAGTAAAAACATATGCACGTGTGCCTTACGTGTGTAAGTCCGTATTTGGGTATATGCAAAAATACATGTTTAACTCCCTGTAGAAATATCTCCCTACATCTCCAGCGAAGCACAATCTGCTTCCTGGAAAGTCCTGCAGAAAGCAAGCCGGCAATCGCCGTCGGAGGCTAACATGCAAAAGCAAACAAAGAGATAAAGAAATTGTTACCCATTCCAGCCGACACACATCTGCCTGATTTATATCTGCCCTCATGAGCGCTACGGCATGTGCCTGCCCACCACCACCCGCCGGCGGCGGCGGCGGCGCGGATGTCAGCCTCG